TAAGCTCCTTTTCATGGGGTTCCTCTATCCTGGTCGAATATAATAGGAATTTTGAGATGTTGCTTTCTGTGGACGAAGAAAAACTGGAGAAACCGGAGTAAAACCCTCGGAGCAAGGCGAGAACCAACCACAAACTCAACCCACACATGGCACCAGGCCGAAATCGAACCCGGGTCACATTGGTGGGAGAAGAGCACTCTCACCACTGCGCTATCCCGCTCCCCGAGATTGGTAAAAAGGACTCCTTGAGGAATTAATATTCCAGGAATAATAAACTTTAGATATAATCATAAGATCTTTAGCTCTAAAAAATAGTGAATAAAAATTCTAATAAACTCCAGCCTCGAAAACACTGCAAAAGTCAAATAAACCCCGGGTGCGTTTAATCGAGAAAATCCGGTATATCATATTGTTAATTTTACAACACTCGTAATATCTTCTATTAGAGAATCACTGTCGGACAATCTTGACTACGGAAGTGAAATTGCTCGTATTTGAGTTTCATGCTTGTTTGTCTTGACAAACCGTGATGTTTAAATAGTATAACAACCCGCAATCTATGATTTAACAATATAGTTTTTTTTTTTTTTTCAGGACCAAAGACCCAACATTACTTACTTCGCTTCTTGTAGTTTGCTCTTCATCTGTTCAATACCCTGCTCCAAACGCGTTCTACATATCCAGCGAAAAAAAAAAACATTTATTCAAATCCAAGCATAATTATAAATCAAACAAACCAGGTACATATTGGAACATTCTCCTTGAACTTAACTGAGCTGTGGTGACGATGTTATGAATTGTAATGTATACAAACCTTTCGGAGTTCTCCAGTTCAGGCGGCTGAGGGGTGGGTTTAGTCTTCTGTTGTTTGAGGACACTGTGGACACGAGTCTGAAAACACCAAGCAAGAAAAACACAATAAGATACAGACTCGCACAGAAGTCAATACTACATATATACTACATAATCTGCACTCTCAACGGGCTCTATACAAAAAAAAATCATATTGAACACCCTCCTAGAGAAGTGGAAGTCGACAACTATCTAAAAGCCAAGCTGTGCCTCGTTATTTTTGAAGAGCTTTTCAGAGGCACGGCACATGGTATCTTCAGTAGACCCGATAAGGGCAGAGTCCCCGTTTCCCAGAGCTAAATAAGCCCTAGTTTGGTCAGAGAAGTGTTGTGAAGTAACGAGACTGATATGTTCGTATGACGTCATAATGACGTGACAGAGTGCTTGCGGGTGTTCGCGCTATTTTTGTTGAATAACAAAAATTGAAAACTCTTCGGCACTGTAACCTACCTTGTAGCTTTCAAACTCGGCCCGCGTGGCTTCATGGGCCAGTTTGGAGCTTTCCCATTCTGCCTTCATTTTGGTTAGCTTAGCCTCCAGTGTCTCTACACTGCGTTTGTTGCTCTCTGTCGATGAACGAAGCTGCGAAGAGAAGACAATGATGCTTGAGGTTATTCTAAGCGTCTCTTTTTCGTGCGTTTTCCGTTTCCCTTCACTAATTGCCAACTAACACACTTCTGTTTAGCTACAAGTCTGCACACACAACTTCACTGGTTTCCCTAGCATGACGGGACTGAATGTATAAGAAACAACCTACTTACTTGTTGCTGGTAGCTTTGGCTTTCGGCCGTTAGAGAAGACAACTCCACCTAGAAGATTAAACAGGAAAATTCATCACATAACGGAGAAATTCCTCGATTAAAATATACATTGTTTGAATCGTAAATATGGGCTTTTCCACTCACACTTGCATCTATGCGTTAGGTGACGAATCGTCGTTGTATCTCACGGCAATTCTTATTACTCAATAAAGGGAAAGTAATTTCAATTCGTTCCTGAATACTGAGTCATTCTTCAAAGTCTCAGGAAAATCTGAATACTCTCGTTCATCGACTAATCAGAATGAGACCACTATTTCTGAATAATTATTTAAGTAAGTGCCTGTTCAGCAAAGTCTGAAAATACTACGAAAATCAAAAGTATTTAAGGGTAAAACAGCGCAGGAACCAGAATGAACATTCCGAGACTCTAACAAGAATTCACCTAAAATAAAGAAAAACGAAAATTAAAATTGGGGGGAGGAAGGCATTAAGAAGCACAAATGAAATAACCTTGTATTGCTCTGCCTGTTGAGTGGCGGATTCCAATTGTCCTTTCAACCTTGATTCGATTACATCCTGTTCCATTGTCTAGAAAAACAGTAGCAATAGACTTGTATTATTTCACCAAAGTTTAGAACGTTCCACGTAGGCTAAGTCACGCTATGTTACCTGACACTGCTGCGTCACGCAAAGCTTGGTCACTGTTTGGTTTATTCTAATCATGCACCTCACAGACTGATCTAAACTTGACTTATAATGGTCCGTCATATATAATCGTCGTTTGCCCAGAAATGATCACATCTCTTGGATTATGCTATACTGTTTTTAAATTATTCTACTGTTTGTGTAACTGGACAGGACAATGGATCAGGGGAGAGGTGCTTAGGGAGGAGGGTCCGGGGGGAAGCAAGTGAAGAGAAGCTTGTTAGGGAGGGAAGGGGAGGGAAATCTTCGTACCTGCTTCTTGGCTTCTGTGAGTTCTTTCTTTGTTTTCACCAGCATAGACTTCATTTTCAGCGCTCTCTCCTCAGCTTGTTGCCGTTGACTGTCAACCATTTCTAAACGCAAGCAAAATGGAAATCCTCAGCCAGTTTCTAAGTATTCGCACTATTGTGTTCTTCGACTGGCTGATTTACAAAAACCAGTACTTGCTCACAAAATCAAACGCTCGCTTAAAGGAGATCAGTCACGTTATTTCGAGTTACTTTTTGGCCAAGTAAATAGAAGGAAACCTGAAAATGAAAGTTTTCTAGGATAGAAAAACACCAAAGAGAGAATGATAAATTATAAAGGGACAAGAATGGTTAAGGATGGAGAAGATTAACACGGATTACAAACGACGAACTTGAAAAATTGAGGCTAAACTTTTCAAGATGCGCAAACTGTGAATGAGCTCTTTTAAAGTGCGCTAAACGTATGCAATGATGCGTTTTCAATCTTCTTGGATTGCAAAGTTCAATCCTTTTTAACTGTCCTCACCGATCTGTGTTTTGAAGTCGTCTGCTCTCTTGTCCACTCTAGACACCTCGTCCTGTGAATCTTGTAATGCCTTCTCTTTCTCCGCAAGTTTGGTTTGAAGCGCCTCCAAGGATTTCTGATAATCCTCCATTTCCAAGCTCATCAAGCTGCTTTGATTTGCTTCCTAGGAGTTTAATGGACAGAATGATTTGTCAGATGAGTGTTCGTATATCGAGTTAAACCTAGTATGCATTCCAGACGTTTTCTCTGAGTGGCCACCGAATTGGTCTCGTTTTAAGTTCTTCAGAGGAACATGGAGAGTGGAGGAGAGTTACAAAGTTAGTCTTAAAGTATAACTCTCTCTGCAATAAGTTTATATGCGACCATTCTAATACATGATCGAATTCAGCGAT